TCTCTTATACACATCTAGATGTGTATAAGAGACAGCCCTTCAGCCCTTGCTCGGCGCCTCGGCGGAACCATTCTTCGGCTTGGACCAGATCCTTTTCCACTCCCAGCCCGTCACGGTAACACATTCCGAGATTGCTCTGCGAGTCCGCAAACCCTTGTATGGCGGCCTTATAGTACCACGAGTATGCGTCCGCGGCGCTCTTCACGACTCCGATCCCCTTCTCGTAACACCATCCCAGGTTATGCTGAGCTTGAACATAGCCCTGCTCCGCCGCCAGGCTGTACCACTTGACGGCCTCTACCTCGTTCTTCTCGACCCCTGCGCCCCGCTCATGGCAGTAGCCGAGGTGGGTTTGCGCCCTCGCATCGCCCTGCGCCGCCGCCATTTTGTACCATCTTACTGCCTCTTCCCGATCCTGTGGAACGCCCTTCCCGTGGAAGTAGAGGTATCCTAAGTTACACTGAGTCTCGGCATTGCCTTGCAGAGCCGCCTTTCGATACCATTCTGCCGCCTGCCGCTCGTCCTTTGCAACCCCCTCCCCATTGCCACAACAAGCCCCAAGCTTGTTCTGGGCCAGGGAATCTCCTTGCTCTGCCGCCTTCCGAAGCCAGTCCACGGATTCTACGGCTATATTCTCATCGCTAGTTGCTGCACAACACCCAGATCCAGATCCCAACCAGAACCAAATCCCAGCCAGATTCAGATCCCAACGCCAAAGACAATGTCAAATGATGGCAGACAATACAACTCACAGAGAAAAAAAAGGAAAAAGTTTTGGCTTTTCAAATTTGAAACTTTTTTAACTTTTTTTTTTCAGCCTTTTTGAACTCTTTCTTTTCTTTCTTTTCTTTTTCTTTCTTTTCTTTTTGGATGACCACCAACAGACTAGTAGACAGTGTACAGTCTGTAGACACCAATAATACATTTACAAATTTCTCACTGCAAAACTCAGCGCAGGCTGGCCATCTGCAACCCTCATACCGCACAAAATCAATCCGATTCAGCACAGAAACCTCTTTCCCACCCATCCCAAAATTTTGTCACCATATAATAATAATAATAATAATATCTCCAAATAGTAAATAAAAAGTTAATAAATGTACTAAATAAAAACATTTCATTTGATTAAAAAGAAAGAAAAAAACTCAAGAAAAGCGTAAAGTGCAGCGGACACACGTCAACCACAGCAATATCATTACGTTTCAAAAGCACACAATCAATGGCACGACGAATAGCCAGATGGACAATCAGAGGAAAAAAAAAAAAAAAAAAGAGTCAGGCAAACAGGTTGAGACAGGAGTAATTAGAACTCCAGAGGAGCAGGCAACCACAAAAAACAGTCGTGCACAATCTTCAAAGAACGGAGAGGGAAACTTCGGAGAGTGGAGGGGGTCATGGAATCCTCCTACGAAGCCAAAAGATGTCCACACATGAAGACACAGTGAGATTCTTTTTTTTTTTTTTTTTTTTTTTTTTTTCCCGACCACGTCTCCATTTATGCATGTCATCCTTGAAAGCGCAGGGGCCATGCTAATCTTCTTTCTCTGTACAGTTCCAATGGTTTAACAGATATCCCGAAGGACAGACAACGTGAGATTCTGATGAAACGATGTGTCGCATTGTCCCTTTCCTTCCACTGGCTTCCAGAGACACATTTTGGAGTAGACCCCAGGCACCGAGGCGGATGAGCGGAAAAGGGGATTTGAATCCTCAACCTTAGCATTGGCAAGGCTATACTCTACCATTAAGCTATTTCTGGCATCAACCCACTTGATTCCGTGGTGCGTTTGCTCGCTGGAGCCGCTGTAGGTATTGGAAACGTGCGTAGTCCTGTGATTCATTCTGTTGCATGAAAATCCACTCATGGGGAGGCAGACAGAAGGAAGAGTTGGTGCGAAAGCAGCGCACGTCAGCAATCTGCCGACGACCGATGCACTCATGGGGAGGCAGACATAGTCACAGGGTGACGGACAGAATCGTGGTGTCGCAAAGCTGTACAACAGAGGCAGAAGGCAAAAGATGTTCGCGGCCGGATGCATACTGCAGTAAGTGCCACACAGTCTTTGTTGCCTTGTGAGTCGTGACTTTGTGCGTCTGTACAGCAAACCACCCCGTGATTTATCACAGTCTGTGACTGTGACTCAGTTTGTGACTGTGACTCAGTTTGTGACTGTGACTCAGTTTGTGACTCAGTTTTGTCACTCAGTTTTGTCACTCAGTTTTGTCACTCAGTTTGTCACTCAGTTTGTCACTCAGTTTGTCACTCAGTTTGTGACTGTGACCGTGACCGTGACTGTGACTCAGTCTGTGACTGTTACTCAGTTTTGTGACTCAGTTTGTGACTCAGTTTGTGACTCAGTTTGTGACTGTGACTCAGTCTGTGWYTGTGACTCAGTTTGTGACTCAGTTTGTGACTCAGTTTGTGACTCAGTTTGTGACTCAGTTTGTGACTCAGTTTGTGACTCAGTTTGTGACTCAGTTTGTGACTCAGTTTGTGACTCAGTTTGTGACTCAGTTTGTGACTCCGTTTGTGTCCGCACAGAGTCACAAATTTCAGTTCCATGATGTCACACTGCATCAGCACATCACAGAGTGATGCGGACACTATCCATCACTAATCAATGTGTTATATGTTGGCATTCAGGGTCATTCGCTGACTGACAGACGTGTCACACACGCCGCCTGATTGACAGACCGACTGACAGAGGCCAAAATTTCCACTACCATTTTCATTGACAGTGGATATTTAGGCCAACTTTCAGTCTAGATACATATAATGATGATGACTGTACATTGTATTCAGACGCAAATAGTAGGACCAATTAAGAGATACAGACCGTTATAGAGAATGAAGATCAAAGGTAAAAAATATTCTTGAATCCCTGTGAATGCAATGCTGCTGTCCAGACTGTTTAACAATTTTTCACTGACTGATGACAGAATGACATAATATCAGATTCTTTGAGATAATAATAATAGTCTAATAAATTAATTATATATGCAGAAGAAGTACAAGGCGACAACCACTGAGGTCATGATGTATGTATGAATGCGCATGTGTTATAGATACGCATGTAGTCATGATTTACGTATAAATGTGCATGTGTGAATGTGCATGTATGTAGTCATGCTGTATGTATAAATGGACACGCTACCTTTTGCCTTATCATGCAGCAGGAAGCCGAGGTTCCTCTGCGCTCCCTTGAATCCTTGTTCCGCACTCTTTCGGAACCACTCCTCGGCTTTGCCGAGGTCCTTTGGCACTCCCTGCCCGTCCCGATAACACATGCCGTAGTTGCACTGCGCATCAGGGAAGTTTTGCTCAGCCGCCTTCTGGTACCATCTGGCCGCTTCGGCGTAGTCTTGTGCGATTCCGATGCCCTTGATGCAGCACCAGCCCATATTATGCTGCGCCTGTGCGTAGCCCTGTTCCGCCGCCTTTCTGTACCACTTCACGGCCTCCACCTCGTCCTTCGGCAGACCCGCGCCGTGCTCGTAGCAGTACCCTAGATTGGTTTGCGCCCTCGCGTAGCCCTGATCAGCTGCCTTGCGGTACCATTTAACCGCCTCGACGGGATCCTTGGGGACTCCCCTTCCGTGGAAGAATAGGTAACCGAGATTGAACTGAGCATCGGAATTCCCTTGCTCGGCCGAGAGGCGATACCACTTGGCAGCCTGCTCGAGATCGGATGTGACGCCTTCGCCATTCTCGCAGCAAATGCCGAGCTTGTTCTGTGCAACAGCATCACCTTGCTCTGCCGCCTTGCGAAGCCACACAACAGCTTGAACAAGCCCCAAGAATGACGGTTGCTGTGCCTGTTTCTTAGCTGGAGGAAGGGGAAGGGGGGGGGACCAAAAGGGTATATGAATAAGAGGGGTTGAAAGGGCACGCAAATAAGAGAGGTCACAAGGGGTCACATAAACAGAGGTTACGAGGAGACACATTTAAGAAACCACAGGTACGTATGCCATCATCAGAAAATAAAGCGAGGTCATTAAGGGGGAAAAAAAAACACCACCACCACCAACACCAACAACAACAACAGCAACAACAACAACAACAACAACAACAACAACAACAACAAAAAAAAAAAAAAAAAAAAAAAAAAAAAAAAAAAAAAAACAGCGACAACAACGACAACAATGACAACAAAACCAACAACAGCAGCAGGAGGAGCAGGAGGAGCAGGAGCAGCAGGAGCAGCAAAAACAGCATAAACAGGAGCAGAAAAAAGCGACAGCAACAAGAAAAACTTTGTGCTGTAGTTAAGAGATCCTCAAAAGACTCTTTTTTTTTTTTTTTCAGAGGGGTTCCCTGAATTTGGGGGCTGGGGGTGCTGGGCTTTGGGAAGCTACAAGATGACAGGTCAGACGACCAGTTTGTGCGTGCGAGCAGTTGACATGAGAAGGGGAAAAAAGAACAGGGTCGATTCAAAAGAGGGGACACAATTACAACACAACCATTGGCATGTGCATGGTCAAACACACCGCAAAAGAATGATTTGGCTGCCACCTTCCCCCAAAAAAACGCAAGACACCCTCGTCACGACTGTATGGGACGGTAAAGATAGCTTGCACACAGTCATTATCAGCATCCGTAGTGTTCGGGGGAAGACGGCCTTGCTAGATGGACTTGACATAGGTTCACACTGCTCGCGTGTTTGCAAATCCAGACAATAGCAAAATGAAGCCTTGACTTCTCCAGACTATAGCACAATCCAGACTTGATTGCGACTATAGCGGCCTTAACTACCCCAAGGAGGTGGCACCCGCTTCTCGGCTTGCCTTGCAGCTTCCAAGTGTGAGGGAAACCAAAGTCGACACAGTCACAGTCAATCCGAATGAAGTCAAGGCAACAGGGCCCCTGTATTTCCGAGATGGGTGTGAGTATGTGCACGACGTGTGTTCCGTGAGATGAATGTGCATGTGCATGTGCATGTGCATGTGTGTGTGTGTGTGTGTGCATGTGTGTGTGTGTGTGTGTGTGTGTGTGTGTGTGTGTGTG